GCTTGGCTGGTAGGTGGTCATTCGCTGGCCTGGCAAAAAATGTGCCGTTGTCGCATTGAGGAAACGATCATGACGGTAGTCTGGAAGGAGGTTATAATGTGCCAGAAAGTTCGAGCTTGGTTAAGCAACATCCGCTATGACAAATTTCCAATGAAGGTCGCGGCTAGCCTCCTGAGCTGAATGTGCAAGCGCAACGAGCTGTATGTCTTGATTGTGGACCGGTTCACCGCACTGAGCTCGAAAGATGTCGGCAGGCGAGAGCCTTGAAGATTGGCTCACGGGTAGCAGCTGGTGTCGGAACTGCTATCGAGAAAAAAATGCTGTTTCGTAATTTGATCGGTGACGAAGATGCAAGAGCCTCTGTGTTGGCAGCTTGCGGTCGTCTCCACCACCTGCTGTTGATATTTCTCGTTAGTATAGCAGGGTGGTCGACATTGCTGGGCTCTGTCACCGAACCGTTGATGATAATAACACTGGTCGTTCTCAGCAGGCTGCCGCGATGTTACAGCCACTACTTTCCAACTGGTATCAGCGCGTTGAAAATCACTTGCCGATGCGTTGCTGAGTGCAGCTGAGTTGTCGATCGATACAGACAGTACGATGTGCTAGCTCCGTGGTGTTTAGCAGAATGGCAATAGCCTGGATGGTGGGTGACAACTGTGGTAGAAAGACCTCAATGATGCGATCAACGATCTCAGCAAGTTCATGGAGAGGCAGCTCAAGTTGAGCCTGCATAACCACCTGAACACGTGGTGAAAGTTGTTGAAGCCACAGTGCTTGCAAGAATGAATCCTGGACTTCCATGCTGCGCGTGAGAGTGTACATGTGAGGAAGCAGTTACGAAAGTTTGTGCTCAGCGCTGTGCGGTCAAAAGTTGTTGCTCGTTTTGTTCGTCTAAGGGTGACAGGTCACGTATGACTTTGGTCTCAAGGGGTTAATAAAGGTTGGCCACTTAAGAGTTGATAAGGATATTCGAACCTCATGGCGTAGCGGGCGTCTAGATAGGCGACGACGTAATCATAGCGGGTCCGATCGTGAGTGATGCCCGCCAGAGAGAACTGGGCCTCAACTTGGGTAAACCATACCTCATACCTTTCATACCTCAAGTGAGTCCACCCAATGCGGTAGAAACTTGACAGTGACACGCGAGGTATCATGTGGAGCAACGAGTGGCATGCTGTCTGCAGGAGCTTCCAGGTTGGCCATGGGAGTGTGGTTTGTTCAGTTTCCAGGTCACCAGATGTGCGATGCCGGGTAAACGAAGGACGAATCCCAACATTAAACATAACTGCTTATTTGATCGACAGGAACATCAGATCAAGCACACTGATGCTACGCTCATCAGAGGTAACAGAGCAATGATGAAACTGAGCTGGACAGGTGGGGTTTTATAGCCAGCAGTGGTGACGTGGTGGCACTGTCCCTTATCGAAACCATGCTGCTGCAAGTGTCCATGTTACACTGGGTGAGACAGACCCTGCGCAGATTTGTGCACAATGGCCGCCACAGCTCTATCCCAGAGTGGAAGGCATTCCACAAGGCATGTTGTGCAGTTCTTGGACAGAACGAAGACTGTCCAGTTTGAACACTCGCTGTGCTTGGCCACTGCCGCTCAACATGCCATGACACCTTCTACTGTTTGTCTCGATAAAACAAATGCTTCAAGACCTCAATCTAGAAAGTATTTAATAAATGGAGAGTGTGACTCTATGATGAAAGTTCATTGCAGCCGTACATAACGAAAAAGTGCTTCCTGAAAGATCAAGCCCTTGTGGCGTAGCAATCAAACTTTACTGTGTCCCACTTAACAAAAAAAGAGAGCATCTAGATACATTCTTGATTATCCTTAAATGTAAATTTCCCTATGTTGTTGCTGCTCCATGCTTTATGTGCAAGTTCTTGGTTCCAGGGAATTTTTGTCTGATTGGTATGTTCAGAAAATGATCTAAGTGGATTCATTACGAGCACCATTTCATATCTATTCTTGGCTGATACAATTTTGTGTTCAGAGCTGTTTCTGGAATGCCACATTAGCTCTGTAGTCCATAATTCGTGAATAACACAAGAGCGCATGATGACGCTTACACTAGCACACAGTGTACACAAGGCAGCCTGACTATGCCCACTGCAGGGTAACAGCCTCCCGCTTGTTTCTCAGATTAACCCAGTCCTATCCTGCTGCATCCATATTATTCCCGCAAACTTCTGAATCTTGTCTTCCCACTAGACTTGGCGTTTCTTGGAATTTATTCTATCACTCTCAATCACAAACTCTGGAAACGTGGCAAGCTGCAGAAATCCAAGTAACGTGTTGGATGCTGTGAAACATATTATTAAGAACATCGAACGCATTATTAGAAGGTCGCACATTCAGTTCCTCTTAGCAGTAAGTTATCTTTTCGTCCACTCTTGTTTCTTCAGTCACATAACAATAATAACATCCCCAATACTTTCTTTTGTGTCATGGTCTGTTAGTACTCATAACTATTTATTATTGACAAGCTGTGTATCTTAAACAATGTTCTGTTCAGTTCGAGCTCTGTTGTTTTAACAAACTTCTGCTACCTCAGCCATAAGTTAACGAGGTTCCACTGTGTAGTGAGAAATTGAAGAATGTATCAAAGTACATTGATAAATGAGCAGTGAATATTAACCAGATACAATTATCTTGTTATTCTCTGGTATCATTATGTCAATTACCGAGTGCTTTGTACCTGTGCTTAGCCATGCCATCAGCATGCACAAGAATACAAGTACACGGTCATCCTTTATGAAAGAAGTGGCCTGCGCTCTGTGGTGGCTGCATCAAATGACAGCCAAAGAAGGGGTCTCGTTATTTGGCTTCATCTATTGGAGAACAAGCGCTGCTAGATAACACACGCGCTCAGGTCTGATAACAAGTGGTGCCTCCCCAAAAGTGGATGCACCTTCTTTAGCTGTCGGTTGATGGTGCTGCAGACAGCCGCCGCAGAGCGCAAGCCACGAATTAGCGCGTTCCTTTTCATAAAGGACGACAGTGTACATAGATAGGTAAAGCGCCGTCGTAAGACTGGCTAATCTATGGCATACAGCAACATTATGCTACTGGTGAGATCTCATTCCCATTGTCATAGTAGTCCCTTCTAGTAGCTTAGAACACACGCTTAAAAACACACGAACTCACGTGGTGCTAAAGATGCATGCTTCAAGGCAGTGTTCGCCCACAGCTCAAACTAAAGGGCCATGCTCGCATAAAGAATGCCATGCAAAGTGGAGTTTGCCACCAGTAATAGAAGAAGAGCCTTCAGGAGCACGCGAAACAAGAGGCACGCACCTCTTTGCTAGAGATTTTGTCCAGAAGCTCTCCATCAGGTGTGCCACACAGCTCCATGATCCTGTTCAGCTGGTTTAAGTCTAGCACATGGGTCAAGGGGCCAAAATGCATCCCAAGAAACATCCTATCCTTAATGTCCAAAGTGCGACTTTTTCAAGGCATAACAGTGTGTCACTGTTTGGTATACATCACATGCAAGTTACACTTGAATGTGAACTCCTGCAATTTCATTGCACAAGCCTTCACAAATGTCGCAGTGAGCATGGACTGTTACTAAGCAAAATACTTCGCAGAGAACACATTATTGCCCAACTTGAACATCAAGTTATTGTAGCTACCTAGTAGAACATTTGTTTTTAAAAGCTAATGTCAGAAAAGTGTTAAAGCAATCGCAAAGGCTCTGTTCTACATGGATATGCCAAGGCTGACGACGCATCAATGCTTAGGGCCACATACAAGATTATGAAAGGTTGTGATGCAAGCTGTCGCATAAAAAGCAATAAAAACACACGTATAAATGCAGCACGCAGTAGAAGCACAGCTCAGCTGTTTTGCAGGTTAGTCGGGTACAACACGACCGAGCAAAGCAGGCCAGAAGAAAAGACGATCTACTACCTCCTCACTGGTCATTTTCATGAGCAAAGAATCACCGGGCGTTCCCGTAACGCTCATGATGTGCATGAGCTGGTCAATGTCTGTGACCCCCCCAAGAGAAAGCGTCAAGGGCAAACCAGTGCTTGGCATCAAAGCACATCAAGCCACAGCTCTACCATTCTATGCAGTGGTGCAACACACTAAGCGCTGGGCGCATGTCACACTCTGAACAAAGGTGTGAATGCTGGCTAAATGGTAATGCCACTGCAAGGTGAGAGTGTAGGGCCACGTAAAAATGAAAAAAAGGTTAAGAAAGATAGCAAACATGAAAAAGGTGCACTAACAACCAAAATTTATTTTCCCTCAAACTATGATGCCATACTGATTCCATTGTTACATAGCTCAACAAAAAACAGATAACACCGGTACACTGTACTAATGATCAAGACTCTTTTTCACATGACAAGAGCTTGACGGCTTGCTGATAGATTTTCTCTCCAACTTGCTGAAGAAATAAGCTTCAAATAACCCTGATTTTTGTCAATTTCCATAAATATTTAGCACTCACGTCTACTCCAGCACACGTGAATGGTCGGCTGATGAGTACTGCATGATGCAATGAAGTGCTGAGCTAACCTCGACACAACAACGCTGCTTGTTGGACAAGTTGGAACATGTCATTCGTAATGGTATTGAGCACAAACACTAAAAAACAAACAATAAGACAGTCTAAAGATGCATGCGATAGGCATGCCCTCGCTGACCTTTCTAACAAATAACTTTTGTTTTTAGTGTGATTTAGGGACAGAGGCAGTATTGCTATACACAACACTAACGTATTATTCTTTTCAAAGCATGCACATTTCTAGATTTTTTTCCCAACCTGGGTTTTATTTTTTTTTGTCCTTTTGTCTGTACATAAGTGTGTTCCTTTCAAATAAGTTTTAGTTGTAAGAAATGCACTGTACCTATGTCGTCCCGCTAGTCTGTTGTCAAGTGTTTGCACTCCATACTGCTAATCAATAGCTTAGCACTTCATTACACTCCCAGCCACCATTAAGAGAGACAATATCCTCGAGACATGGCCACTCACACTGAGACTGCTAACTTTCTCGAGAAACTCCTCGGACGGGGTGCCCAAGAGTCGAATGATCATGTTCAGAAGGTGGATGTCTGCAGGTGGCTAAGGACTCAGCACAAGGCACACACACACAAATCACTGCACTCCTTTCTTATCAGGCTGCAAGGAGACCATCTGTTAGCACAAGCAGAGAAACTTTAGTAAGAAGACGACCTGACAACTCTAAGTGGGCACCATTTGTGTGGCACCAAACACACCTTTCACACATGTTAAAATGGTCTCACAAAAAAATCGACACTTGGGCTAGTTGGTTGAGATGCATGGTATACACTCAAACCTTGAGATATCGAACCCAGATATAATTAAATAATGGTTATAAAGGTGTAAATTAAAAAGCTCTTGCAATACCTACAGCATTACAAATATACTTATCTATCAATCTTTGGAAGTAACAAACTTATCTTTATGTAAGATGAAACTTTGTTAAAATGAGGTTTGAGTGTTGATTAATCGCATAAAAAGGAATACAGAACAAGCACTTATGCGCAACTGAAAAGATTTATTGAAAAGAGAAGGATATAAATGCGCAGAATGAAGGTCAACGCATGCATGTCAAGGTTTCAGAAAGCCAACCAGTACATAAACATACTTTATTTTTCATAGCTGGTCGAGATAAACAGTGCAAAAAAAATAAAGACAGAGCAAAGAAAGGATACAACACGTGCACTGACTTTTGACTAAGAAATCCCACAAGGCAATAAAACTGAAAACACTTCTGTGTAGACACAAGGCAACTTATCTTGACAGCGCTAGTGGTTACAATAATCTAAAAATGATATTTCACCCCACACACAGGGCTAACTACCAACTATTTATTGTGCGTGACCAATCATAATATAACTACAGGATAATGCGCTAGAGCAATGACCAACGATTATGCACGTGTGCACGTAAGATCCAGCCTCTACCTAACAACACAACGAAAACTAAAGATGACAGATAAACCAGCTAGGAGCCTTTTACATTCCTGCCTCGAGACGAGAGACTTCCTCCTGACACAAAATTATTTTTTTTAATAAAGTAAGCTTCCAACAAAAGACATTCCCAGACTATTTCGTGCTTCTTCTGAGAACCTGCGTGTTTGTAAACTGTGGCTAATTCCCACATACCGTGGCTCATTCCCATGTGCCACAACATGTGCATACTTGCCAAGTCTCCCGGATTGGCCGGGAGACTCCCGGATTTTACCCGTTTTTTCCGGTTGTATGATTGTCATGAAAATCTCCCCGAAATCGAAATTTCTGTGCCTGACCTGGCTGCATTGAAAAAAAAGCAGCTAAACCCACTCCAGGCTTTTCCAACCAACCCAATTTTATTATAAATGAGTTTAAGAGGCATTCATGTAAACGTACAGTATAATCTCAGTGACGTGAAACTGCGGCAGATACGAATTCTTATATTCCCCAGCCAAATTTTACTATGTTCATTGGGCCTCAATCCGAATGTTCCGAACATATTGCCTAATCGCGGTGGGTGTATTGAACTTTAGTACGGAAACCATCGAACGAAGGCCGAGAGCAGTGTACTCGAAGCTTCGGAAGCACACGTGCGACCGACGCACTACAGTGCGTGTGATTGTCGTTGCCACAACCGCTGAGGACGAAACCATGGTTGCTCTTGACACGATCATGTATGGCGACGACGTAACTGAGAAAACCCCGAAAGTGTGCGCTCAACCAGTCAAAGCAACGCTGCTTTCTGCAAACTCAGCAGACAAGCCTGCGGCAGATGCTATCATAGATGGTATAAAAAAACTTAGTTTTGAAGGCCTGTGCACAGCCAAGCACATGGCGATTGCAAAATGAACTACCGTTTGCCGCAACCGTCGCGCCCAAAACCGCAGTCGCGGCGACGTGATAGCGATCTATGACCTTCGAGGGCACACAGCAAAGGTTAAATGCAGTAAATACGTAAAAAATAAAGAAAAGTTACAGTTTCGCTGCAAGGGCGAAGCAATAAATGCGACAGCAACAACTTGGAATGTAACGCTGAGAACGGCAAGCAGAGCGAAACGTACAGCACGCTGCTCACATACAAATGACGCACGAAGACTATACTCGCAGGACGAGAGCGAACTAACAGCATTTACCGCTCCACACGTAACGCGCTGTTTAAACAAAAACGATGCACGACGATACGTCATCACAGGTACGAATGAGTACAAACTAACAAGTGTCCCAGTTGTTATACCTCGCTGTGTATGAAAAGCGCGCTGTTTTCGCAAAAGGGTTCTGTGCAGAGACCGAAGTGACCTTTGTAGGCCCGGCAACTAACGCTTTTGTTTCAGTGAAAGCCGAAGGCACAAGATTCCCCCACCAAAGAATAAGCGCGCGCGCACAGGCATCCATCCATAGGGCAAAGTACACATGAGAGATAAACACGCATCGCCGCATCGAGACGAGCTTGGCACCGAGCGCAGGCGGCTTTTTTTCTTTGAGTGTTCATATATATAGATGACGCAACCTGAACTTGGCAATGTTTAACGCTCGAACTTTATCTAGTGAGGGAAGCCTAGCTGTACTATTCGAGGAGCTAGAGGGTGCTAAATGGGATATAATAGGGCTCAGTGAGGTTAGGAGGACAGATGAGGCCTATACGGTGCTACAGAATGGGCACGTCCTTTGCTATAGGGGCTTGGCTGACAGAAGAGAACTGGGAGTCGGATTCCTAATTCACAGAAACATAACTGGCAACATAGAGGAATACTATAGCATTAATGAAAGGGTGGTAGGTATCGTAATTAAACTGAATAAAAGATACAAGATGAAGGTGGTACAGGCTTATGCGCGTACATCCAGCCATGATGACGCTTCAGTTGAAAGCTTCTATGAAGACGTGGAATCGACAATGAGTAAGGTAAAAGCACAGTATACTATACTGATGGGAGCCTTTAATGCAAAGGTACAATGAATGATAATTTGACGAGTATCATTACGAAGTGTGCAGTGGAAGTTGGAGGCAGGGTAGCTAGACAGGACACTGGCAAGCTTTCCCAGGAAACGAAGAATCTCATTAAGAAGCGTCAAATCATGAAAGTCTCAAGTACAACAGACAAAATAGAACTGGAGAGCTTTCGAAGTTGATTAACAGGTGTAAGGTATCCGATGTAAGAAGGTATAACATGGAGAGACTTGAACACGCTCTGAAAAACAGAGGAGGCGTCAAAGCAGTCAATAGGAAACTTGGGATAGGCAAAAATCGGATGTATGCACTAAGGGACCAAAGAGGCAAAATAACTACCGATATGAATAGAATAGTTAAAATAGCGGAGGAGTTTTACAGAGATCTGTACAGTAGCCGAGACAACCATAATTTTAATACTATAAGAACTAGCAATAACCCAGATGACACCCCACCAGTAATGATAGAAGAAGTCAGAAAAGCTTTGGAGAGCATGCAAAGAGGCAAAGCTGCTGGTGAGGATCAGGTAACATCAGATCTGCTGAAAGATGGAGGACAGATTGTGTTAGAAAAAGTAGCCACCCTGTTTACGAGGTGTCTCCTGACGCGAAGAGTACCAGAGTCTTGGAAGAACGCTAACATCTTCTTAATACATAAGAAAGGAGATGACAAGTACATGAAGAATTACAGGCCAATCAGCTTGCTCTCTGGAGTGTACAAGCTATTTACAAAGGTAATTGCTAACAGAGTAAAGAAAACATTAGAATTCAATCGACCAAAGGAACATGCAGGATATTGAACAGGCTACTCAACAATCGACCACATTCATAATATCAATCAGGTAATAGAGAAATGCTCAGAATATAACCAACCACTATACATAGCCTTCATAGATTACGAGAAGGCGTTTTATTCAGTAGAAATATCAGCTGTCATGCAGACACTTCGGAATCAGGGCGTCGATGAAGCATACATAAACATCCTGGAAGAAATCTACAGGGGATCTAATGCTGCTATAAAGCTTCATAAAGAAAGCAACAGAGTACCAATCAAGAAGAGTGTAAGGCACGGGGACACAATCTCCCCCATGCTATTTACCGCGTGCTTACAGGAGGTTTTCAGAAGCCTAGAATGGGAACAGTTAGGGATAAGAGTTAATGGAGAGTACCTTAGTAACCTGCGCTTCGCCGATGACATTGCATTGCTGAGTAACTCAGGGGACGAATTGCAACTCATGATTACGGAGTTAGACAAGGAGAGCAGAAAGGTGGGTCTTAAAATTAATCTACAGAAAACGAAAGTAATGTACAACAACCTCGGGAAAGAGCAGCGCTTCGAGATAGGTAATAGTGTACTTCTATTTGTAAAAGACTATGTCTACTTAGGGCAGGTAATAACCGCGAAGCCGAACCACGAGATTGAAGTAACTAGAAGAATAAGAATGGGGTGGAGCACATTTGGCAAGCACTCTCAAATTATAACAGGTAGATTGCCACTATCCCTCAAGAGGAAGGTATATAACAGCTGTATCTTGCCGGTACTTAGTTACGGAGCAGAAACCTGGAGACTTACAAAGAGGGTTCAGCTTAAATTCAGGACGACACAGCGAGCAATGGAAAGAAAAATGGTAGGTGTAATCTTAAGAGACAAGAAAAGAGCAGAGTGGATTAGGGAACAAACGTGGGTTGAGGATATCATAGCTGAAATCAAGAAGAAGAAATGGACATGGGCCGGGCATGTAGCGCGTAGACGGCATAACCGCTGGTCATTAAGGGTAACTAACTGGATTCCCAGAGAAGGCAAGCGGATTAGGGGGAGACAGAAGATTAGGTAGGCAGATGAGATTAAGAAGTTTGTGGGTATAAATTGGCAGCAGCAAGCACAGGATCGGGTTAACTGGCAGAACATGGGAGAGGCCTTTGCCCTGCATTGAACGTAGTCAGGCTGATGATGATGATGATAATGATATAGATACGTATAGATATACGGTGAAGGACGGCGGTAGTGGCGACAGCAAAAAAACAGCCTGGACTGTCCATATAATTGTAAACGCAATCAAAAGATATTCCTGAAAGGCACAATCATTCCGTGAGTTTGGCCGGAAAAAAAGCATTCAAGTTGCTACTTTTTC